ATACATATATATATGTGTATATATATATATATATGTATGTGTGTGTGTATATATATATGTGTATATATATGTGTGTGTGTATAGATATATAAAGAAGTCTATTGTCTGTGACGACATATATATGCAACATTCTTTGGATAACATTAATAAATGTTAATAACTAACAAGTTTCACGTAAAAAGTGAATACAAACAAGACATTCTAAGAAAACACAAAGCAATCTTACACTATTCTTTCTTCATTCCTCTTAAGATTCACACTTCCTTAACCAAAACTAATTTATTTTCCAAATTAAAAACAATATTTAATATAATTTTTCATAAATTTTACATAAATGATATTATAAAACTTTACAGAGCTCTAATACAACATGTTTAAAGATGTGAAATTTTAAACTATTTAAAAGGAGGTCAAGTCTGACCTCTGGGCCATGAAGCACTATATTAACAGCTCTGCAGAAAGAGAAATGATAAGGTATGAAATGAGTGCTCGGAAACTAGGACCTTATCAGTAAGAATACGACTCAAGCCTGTAAGACAAATTGCTCAGCAAGCAAGTCACCTTCCTGCAGTGATAAGGATCCAGCTGCATTTCCAATGCCACCGACTATCTCCTCCATCGTGTCTCCTAGTTTGATATCATACAGTCAAGGAATGGCTGACAGTTCTGAAGCATCTACCACTTATTTTGAATACATTTCATCAAAGTCACCTATTAGGATATCTATCTTTGTCTGTTAACTTACAGCATTAAAAATAAAAATTTTTAAAGGAGAGTCACTAACTACTAAGAACCCCTATAAGTTGACCCTTCAAAGAATGATTCTATTTCAGGTATAAGTAGTAAACTGTTACTTATGTAAGTTAAATAGTTTATTTGGTTTTTATACATAATATGTATAACATAAAAACATGTGAATACCACAAATTGTCTCACTCTAATCGCATACCTGAACACTCATGGACCGTTTCAACAGTTCTTCCACAAAGTTCCAATTTGATTCCATGTGTCTCTAGAAAGGAAAAAAATATTGCAGCATTCTACACATATATTTATAATTATAGCATAGCAGATTCAGTGAAGTACATTTTATCCTTATAAAGCTCTATAATTTCATGAATTTGTAATACTTCAGGGCAAAGAATTAGCTAACAGACCAAGAAAAGAAGTTTCTACAACTTTCCCAACATAATATAAACCTTATCAACTGTCTTATTAAAAGTGATGCTTCTACAGGATATAAGTAGTTTAAGAATTTTTAATTTTGCTGTCAGATGGTCTAAAAAACTCTGCACAGAAAATAAAATTAAATTTCACACAGTGCTACCTGTCAACAGTTTATTATCTGATACTCTCAATTATATGAAATATTCAGAAGAAAAAAATTAAAAAAGGACTTTCACACAGGGTACGGACTAAAAAGAATTCCATTTTTCCAACAGGACACCTGGAAGACGTTTTCACAGGATACTTAATTCTTAAACACTTAAGATGTGTAGAAACCGGTCAAAACCTAGAAACAAACAAACAAACAAAAAATCTCCAAGAGGAAGCAAGGAATATTTCTAGTGGAGAAAAAAAAAAAAAGATGTGACTCAAATATAAGAGTTCAAAAGTAAAGTCAGAGACCTTAAAGAATAAAGGCATAGACTCTCACTATACCATAAGAATATGATGTTCCAATTGCCTAGGCAGAGTGCAGAGGCTGGGGCTCAATCCCCAGCACGTGTACAGGTGCTGGTGCCGGCCCCGCCCCGGGGCACAGTGAGACTGACTGAGACTAGGCGTGGTGCCGCAGACCTGTAATACCAGCTCTTGGGAGACTGAAAACAGGAGAATCACTAGGAGTCTGATCTATGTAGTGAACCCCTGTAGACCCTGTGCTAAATACAAAAAAAGAATAAACTCAAAAGATCACTAACTACACTATAATAAACTGCTGAATAAATAGTACCTTAATAAAGACATAAAGCAACTATAGTAGCCAGGCTCTAACATACACCCCATAACTTCGGCCCCATATTCCTACTTTATGTACTCCCCTCGCACACTGTACAAGGGTCAACCCTGCCACAAACAGACATCCATACTAATATGAAAATAATAGGATGTCACCTCAAAGAGTAGGTTATAAGACACGAAAGCTCCACAATACTCTTGTTGACTTGATCCAAGAAAAATCATACTGCGAGAAGGGCTCAAGAGGTCCCCACAATGGGTAATGGAACCCATTCTGCCAAAACATGAAGTTGGAGGCTCATTTTCCAGCCCCAGTTGTCAAGCTCATGAAAGATCCTGACCCACAATCACCTACTTAAGTTGGTCCTAAATGCCTGACTTAAGAAAGTGCAAGGTAATGTTTGTTTTAAGCTGCTAATTTTGTAATGACTTAGTTACTTTTAGCAAAAAGTATTACTGACTTTTTGAAATATATTTATTTATACAAGTAAAATGAATGCAAAAAACACTGTGTGGAGAGAATGTGGGACAAACTATATACGGTCCTGCCCCAAGAGTAGGTTTGTACTTTGTCCTCTGCTCCTGGGATGTATCTAAGCTGTCAGAATGTTAAGCCAAAAGTAGCGGCATCTTGTTTTTGGGCCATGCATGGATGGTCTAACAATGCACTGAAAACAGACGCTGACCAGACCCATCTTAAGAGTAGGGCCTGGTCATGTTTAAAAGACTAACAAAGTGATTTAGATTGGTCACTTTGGGTCAGCTGACTTAAGAGACTGAGAAAAAATAATTGCAAGTAGTCAACAGATCATGCCTAAGTATTGCAAAGTCCAAAAAAACTATGAACACTGAGTGAGCCACCCTGGTTGGCAATATTCATACACTGCCATACACTGGTGATAGGAGGTGAATGTGTCCTGATCCCACAGGGAGAAGACAAGAGAATCCACAATTGGTACTTAGACTGCATTCTGCTTTATGTGCTTCTTTCTTTCTCTGATGTTAATCTATTTCCTTTCTCTGTAATATACATGAGTCTAACAGTTTTCAACGAGTTCTGCATATCCTAGACCTGAGGACAGCTCTAGGAATTTCCAAACTTGCCACTGCTGTCAGAAATGAGGGTCTGGTTCCATTTCCAGCCCAAATTCCATGCCAGCCCTGCCTCAGGGGCATGCCGAGATGGCGAATGAGACTGGGCACGGTGGTGCACGTCTGTAATCTCTGCTACAGAGGAGAGGCTGAGAACAGGAGGATCACTAAAAGTCTGATCTGTGTAATGATACCCTGTAGACCCTGTACTAAAAATATTAAAAATATTAAAAAAAAAAAAAAATGAGGGCAGTCTTATGGACTGAGCCCTGAAACTCAGTAGTTGGCTCTCAAAAAGGAGACCATTTTGCTCTATCAATATTACATGAATACTGTGTTAGGCTCTTTACACATTAATTCCTCAGAAAATTTAGCATTTTGCAAAAAACAAACAAAAATACAATGAAGTCTCAGAAAGACTACATGTGCATATATCAAGGAAATGCATTCAAATCCAAGCTGGTGTGGCTCCAAAGCCTGCAGTCTTTCTATTGTATCATATATTAGTAACCAGGTTTTTTCCCCCAAGCAAGCCTCCTTTTAGATTTTAGTGACTTATTTTTATATCATTCCTTCTTACTAACACACTGTCACCAACTAGGACTGAGAAGCACATGATAGAGTTTATATAATTTAAATTTTAGCTTTACAATTGGATAATGTTAGTAATTTCAACAGTACTAAAAAGGCAAGTCAGTCATAAGCATCACGGAGAAATAGCATAATTCTGACCCAAATAATTTCAATAATATGGCTCAAGATGCCAGCTATAACCTAAACAAATCAAGCATCAAAGGAAAGAATAGAACTATACCATGCCTAAAGCAAATACAAGAGTAGGTATCAAAGAAATACAGAATTGTCTCCCATAAGGAAAGTTAAATCAGAGCAACTTTAGCATATTTTCCTATATACCAAGTCATATCATTAGTCTCATTTCTAAAAGCCTAGTTAATAGCAGGTAAGAAGTTATCAATTTGGGATTATGATTTATATTTCATATCCTACCATTAAAACTAACAGAATCATTCAAAGTACTGAATAGGTCAGATCTCCACAAGAACTATGAAACAGATTCGCTTACTCTCCACTCCAGTAGAACAGAGATCTTACTGCAAGAATTAAGATCATATTTCACATCTTTTATCTGGTTGGCATTTCAAATATTCCAAACACAAGCAACAACTAGCCTCCCCAATTGCCCTATAATTCTTGTAGAGAAAGTCTACTGTTAAAACTGACCTCTGCTATAGGGTGTAGTGCCACCTGCCTGTGATCTTAGCCCCTCAGCAGGTTGAGGTAGGAGGATCCCAAAAGTTCAAGGTTAGCCTCAGAAACTTAGTGTGACCCTGCCTCAAAGCAAAAGTTTAAAAAAAAAAAA